TGGATTTGATGGACTGACTTTTTTGTTTGGAGCTCTTAAAGAGCTCAAATTATAACAATAAAGTTTGAAAAACAAAGAAGGGAAGCAACCCACTCAGACAGTTTCATAGTAGTTTATGGTCAAATAAAGATGCCTTTAAAATTCACACACTTGTATTACAAAGGATGGATCACAGCAATAAGCCATAACATTATGACCGCTAACGGGTCCACCAATGTATATATTCTTTTTAAACAGGGTCATTTAGATGTATTATTAGCCTTGTACATAATATGGTTTCACCAATAAAAGCATACTACCACCAGAAAAACCCGTCACCCTGATCATTTTTAATATAAATCAAATTGAAAGAAATACCAGAATACATTTATGGGCTTATTTGGTTTTTCCTGCTCTTCTAGACCTGTTTCAGAAGAAGGCCGTATGGCCGAATTGCCCGTTTCACCCACTCCTCTTCTTCTTCATCTGACAGGCCACGCTTTATCGGGATGAGCCAGTATTTCTCGTTGTTGTACTTCTTTCTGTACTCGGGGTTAATCCGATTCTGCAGGATCACCTTGTACTTCTTTCCATCCTTCTGGCAGGTGAACTGGTGAGCATACCCTTCAGCCACAGCGATGTACGGGGTGGAATAAATCCCCCTGCCGTAGGCCTGACCTGGACCTGGCTGTGAAACACAAACAACTCCAGTTAATTTGCTGTTTACTAGGTCCACTTATATTATCAATGTACTTAGTACATTATGCCTGCGCTTCTCTCCCGTCAGTGTCAGTCTTGCCGTTTTTTTGCTTTTTTTTTTAACCAAATCTTAAGTTTTGTGAGGCAAATTAATGATCTATTGGTCTGAACTGGACACAAATATGTTAAAGATCTAAATGCTGAATATGGCTCAAAAAATGATGATCACTACTTTCTATTTTAAATACTTTTCATAGTTTGAGCCAGCAAGAAAATGTTTTTTTTCTATGAGTCACATGCAAATGTTTTAATGTTCTCAGCAAATAGCTATTGTAGTAAATAATTAAATGTGGCATCATGCACTTAGGTGACTCATGGATAATAATGGATTTTTAATCAAACCTCGTAAAATCCTTCAATGATGCCTTCAGCGCCTTTCTTTGACGTCCCGTGGTAGGACACGGGCCACTCGCCTGGCACCGACTGGGTGCTCCGGAAACTGTTTCCCAGCCACTCGTTTCCATCGTACTTATTCAGGACCTGTGATACAACAGTTCATCTGCTGTAACAAGTTTTCATTTGACAGACATGTGACCACAACAACAAATAAAATAAAAACAAGATAAAAAACAGAGAACCTTGGTGATCTTTTCTAAATGACACCATATATTAAATAAATATTAAAACCTGATAACAGCTGAAAAAAAAATTAGGCAGGAAATGTGTGAAAAAATATTTGAATGAGAAAAATTAAATGAGAGCAGCTCTGTTTGGAACTTGACTCTCAACCCGCTGTTTCTCATTTTCTTTTGTCAAAGATTCAAACTGATGTCTTCCAGATGAAATATATATATTCAATTCAATTCAGTTCAATTTTATTCATATAGTGCCACATCACAACAACAGTTGTCTCACAGCGCTTTCCAAACAGAGCAGGTCACACCCTACTCTGAAGTTAATTACAGAAACCCAACAATTCCCACCATGAGCAAGCACTAGGCGACACAGGCAAGGAAAAACTTTCTTTTAACAGGCCGAAACCTCGAGCAGAACCATGGCTCAGGGTGGGCGGCCATCTGCCTCGGCCGGTTGGGGGTGAGGGAAAGAGAGGGCAAGAGAAGGACAGAGGGAGCAGAGAGAGGCCGCCAACACAGCAACACGTAGACTAGATGAAAGATGGCAATGATATTAATACTAATGATAATGGTAGAAGCTATATATATATATATATATATATATATATATATATATATATATATATAATATAATATTGGCTTTCTTAAAGCACTTCTGTCTTATATGTGCTTGGCAACTGAAAACGTACACCAACAATGTGACATCCTGATGCTCGTTTCAAGCAAATAACACCAAATTTAATTTACCTTGAGGCCAAAACGGTACCATCCACAGGGGCGCTCGTACACCTCTCCACCCCTGCAGTAGGTTTCGGTGTCTCTGAGTTTGGTGAAGTCGTAGTCGTATGGATGGTCGAAGAATTCCTCTTCATCGATTATATGACACTTTGGTTGATGCGTGTGGTGTAGATTCTGGTCATGAAAGCCGGCTCCTGATACATCAACTCCCAGGGCACATCGTAAGTTCTGGAAGTGACATCTTGATGTCGGCCTTAGGAAATGAGAAAGGATAAACTATCTCAAAACAGGACAGATATTCCACCTTCCAGACCTGCTCATTTAACTTGTGCAGGTCTTATCTAAGCACATAGGACAACAAACAATTACCTGGTTTCGTCCGCATCCAAGATCGAGGAGATCAGGTTCTTGATCAACAGCTGTGCTCCTCCACCATGGCCCACTCCCGGAGAAGCGGCGTACGATCTTTGTTTTTGCACAGATGTCACTTGCGCATTGGCAAGCGCACTCAGAGCTTCAAGTGCAACGCTTCTGTCAACCATTCTGAGCTTTTAGCTACACTTTTCTTCAGAAAGCTCTGGTTTTCTATGAAAGCAGGTTTCTAGCGTGCTGTCCTGTCTTCGTGAGAGCAGATGAAACACCTTGTCATCAACTGCTCCTTTTATATCAAAATTTCGTCCAAAACTAGAAATACCTGTTAGATCATATCTCTAAGGTTTTTTTTTTCTAAATCCACACACACCTCATCCTGCTACATTGTGCAATATGCATTCCAGTAAGCCAAAATAAGTTAACCTATTGTCCCAAAGCCAAGCCTTAATCATACTAATCAAATGGATATAAAAGGTTATTTCCATTATGATGAGAGTTACTGCTCATGGATATTACAAGTATTTCCTCAGTTTGTGCATGGTCTTTTATAATTAATATTCAGGACAGAAAATGTTCATGGTACTATAGCAAAAAAAATAAAGAATAGCTTGAAAAGAGGAGAATGTAGTGTTGCAAATATTACTCATCAACAGTATGAAAAACACCCATCTTCCAGAGAAATGGTCTGACTTTTAGGCAAGACAAGACAAGTTAATTTGTATAGCACCTTTCCCGTACAAGACAATTCAAAGTGCTTCACAAAGAATTTAAAAGCAGATAGAACAAAGAAAGAAAAAGAATCAACCAAAATAAAGGCATACATGGAAGAATTGTTGTCAAATGTGGTGTTCAAGTGGGTTTTTTCTGGATTCAGCAGTTTAGTACACTTTCATCCGTGTGTCACATTTATCAGCTCCAAAACAAACGCAAGGCTTTCTATTGAAAGAGGAAATGATTTCGAATGTCAGATGACAAATATAATTACATTTTAAAAATCCTGTATTTATCCCAGAGAGAAATAAAATGTTATCAAATAACAGTGGTGGGCCGTCAGGGCCTGCAAGGCCTTCTCTGCAGGCCTAAGAAAATATCTGAATCACAGACTGATGTTAATTATGTTTTGTCCATGGATACTTATTAAATATCTCTAAATAGTCTGTCCGCTTCCTTTCATAGCTTTTCCCCTGGTTGTGCTGCTTCCAGACATGCATTTTCATATAAAAGCATTTAACCAATCACATTTCAGCCATCATTTGTTGCTAGGCAGGGTAAAAGTCAAAGATGTCTGCCTGGTCGATTACACTGTTGCTTTAACCAATCAGATTTTAAGTTGGTGACACCAGGGCCTTCTAGAAGTCCTTAGGTCACTCACACCCCCTGATCATTATACTGTATTTTAGGCTTGTCCCGATCGGGCAGGAGAAAATGCCGATCCAGACTCCAGATCCATTTTCTTATAAAGACTGATCCCACACGAGCATTATCATTAGCATTAGCATCTCCTAACCCACAGGTCTGTGTCCTAACCATTAAGTTGTTATCAGAGTAAATCCCTGTTCAACATGAGTCTGACAACTAAGTAAGAAGATAAATAAATTTAAACTTTAATACAAAAAGCTGGATCAAGACATCCCTACTGTATTTCTACAATATAAGATGATTTCTATAACCATAAAATAGTTATTGAGGGGTGAATTGATTTAGACGGAGCACTACTGAAGGCCTAGGTGTGAAATGCACGGTCCGCCACTGTTAAATAAGGACATGAGGAGTCATTTAGCTCATCTTAAAGTCGGAGAAAGAGACATTTAGGTTTACATCAACATCACACATTTCAAGGAAATATATATAATGACACCATAGTGATAATTATGATAAACATATAAATCCTTCTGAAAGGTCATATGGCCTCAGTTGTAAGGCTCATCTGATCCTTCTAGGTCTTTCCATCCCCATGATGGAGCCTAGAATCTGGAGTCAGATGCTTCAAGCTGCTTCAGTGATGGACAGGAGACTTTTCCAAACCACACAGAAAAATACCTGTTTTGAGATGTTTGGCTTGGATTTACTTGAACTTACAAGACAATTCTTCCCATCGTCTACCATTGTTACCATCATCCAAGACTACTATGTCCTTACTTGGATAAGAAATGCGTGAGAACATTTCTCTCTCTATCGAAAACAAACAAAAGAATAGCTTGAAGAGAGGAGGAAGCAGTTTGGCAAATATTACTCATCAACAGTATGAAAAACACCCATCTTCCAGAGAATTGGTCTGACTTTTAGGCAAGACAAGACAAGGTAAGTTTATTTGTTTGGCACATTTCCTGTGCAAGACAATTCAAGGTGCTTCACCAAGAATTTAAAAGCAGAAAAACAAAGAAAGTAAAAGAATCAAGCAAATAAATGAGCGAGACAAAAAGTGAAGGGTGCAGATCAAATGCATTCAATGTCCATCTGCACAGTTTAACATAACTGTTAGCAGCCTGGATTTAAACATTGTTAGAGTTGAGGCCTGTCTCACGTTTTCAGGAAGACTGATCCAGATTTTAGGAGCATGGAACTGAAATGAAGCCTCACCTTGTTTAGTTATGACTCTAGGCACCATCAGGAGACCAGAACCTGAGGTTCTCAGAGTCCAAACTGGTTCATGTGGCTCTACTATGTCAAAAAGGCATTTCGGTGCTTGACCATGAAGAGACTTGAACACAAGCAGAGCTGTTTTAAGGTCTATTCCCTGAGGAAAAAACAAAAAAGCCCACAAATGTATTCTGGTATTTCTTTCAATTTGATTTACATGAAATGATCAGGGTGATGGCTTTTTCTGGAGGAATTATGCTTTCTATTAGTGAAACCAGATTATGTAAAGCGCTAATAACACATCTAAATGACCTTATTTAAAAACAATATATATATTGGTGGACCTGTTCAGATAGTTAAGATGTTACCTTGAATAGGACTGTGCAGCTCATTATCTGATCTCACACATGACATTGACTATAACAGCTAGTTAATGATACATAGACTTATTTACAACAAATTTACCATCAGGAAAAATACAAGAATTAGTGAATTAATGTTGGCGAGGATAGCAGGTTTCAAATTCTATTGTAGTCTGTGTATTTGCTCAGGAAGTCACTCACAGCATCATTGGAAAAAAAACCCCCAAAAAACAGGTTTCATGAGTTTAAGCAATATTAACGGAACAAAATGAATCACTTTTTTGGCAAAGATTTCCATACATTCAGTTGGTTGCTTCACAATTTTCAAACTTTATTGTAATAATCTGAGCTCTTTAAGAGCTCCCAACATAAAAGTAAAGGTTACACTTTGAAAATGTTACTGAATATGGAGATATTCAGAGGTTAAGTCCATCAAATCCAACCATGTAGGTGGACTGCTACTTTTTGGAGCAGAAATGGCTGAATGCAGCCTATTTAAGGATTTTAAACCCCCATCAGGTGTGAAATAAATCCATGTATTTGTGCAATACATTAAATCTAATTCTGTAGAGTATCATTACATCACAGCATTTTGGGAAAATGTCTTTAGCATTACATTTAAAAGATAAATGTCTTCACAAGTATGTTGATTTGTAACTTTTACACAAAACAGACTAGTTCAGGGTTAGTATGAAAATGTACACGCACAACCCAGTGATGCCATAACAATCATATTTGTTACACAAGGTTTTTGATTTTTCTTTTTTATCTGAGACCCGTAGCATCATTTAATGGTAAAAACTTTGCTCAAAACCCAGTTTAAACATAATCAGATATCCCTGATAACAGTGGGCAGAAGACTACAACACAATATTTCTGACTTATTGCACAGTAATAAATTATGAATATTTTTAAATTACTTCTGTTCAATTATTTTTCCTAATGTTTTCAAAGGGCCAAACAAAGATTTCAGACTAAAACCATTAACTGTTACAAAATAATTCTCTTGATATTTGACCTAATTTTAGTTTTAGCTTTGTGGAAATAATTTCTGCAAAGCAAAAGTTCGAGCATGACAGCTGGAGAAAGTGTGAAAATAAATTTAAAAAAAAGCAGACAAAATGCACAAGCTAAAAATGGCCAACATAAAGTATTACTCTGTCTGCTAGATGAGGCGTTTTGTTTAGTTAAGCTGGGAAGAGGCCACATGTTTTCAAGGCAATGTGCTTCCTATCACCAAGCTATGCAGTGTAAGCAGATACACACCTGATACATAAACCCGGTTTTAAGCAGGACCGGCACAATCCGTCATCATGGTGGTCTGCAAGCTCACACTCAGCGCTTTTGTGCTCCTGGCGGTCTCCATCGGCTGCTGGGCCGAAAAGGTGAGCAAACATCTACGGTGTCTTGAAGGTACTGATCAAATTACAGAATTTGAAGCAAAAAAATGTATTTAAAAACGATAAAATTAGGGTTAATCCTGGGCTTCAAATGTAAAACAGGTTGATTTCTTCATTGTTGATTCGTTTGATTTGTGTCTTTGCTCGCATGAGAAATGAAGCCAAACATTATTGGAATGTGAATAAATGACTCTCATAGACCTTGGAAGAAGATTAAGAAAAATGGAGATCATATTAACGTGGTCATTGAGAAAAATGGAACTGAGTTTTTTTGTAATGTACTTTACACGACTCAGTAGAAGTATCTGGTAGTTGTTCTGTTTTGTGGGCAGTTGAAATGCGGCCGTATGGAAAACAAAATGCACATTTCGATTCCTCTGCTCAGCAAGTTCACACTAACAAGTGACATTCTCCCTCAACCAGGAACTCTCTGTCTCCGAGCTCCTGTGGAGGGCGAACAAGGATGTTGGTAAGGCTCTCTGCATGTTTGAGTTTTAATGCTTGAATAGAAACGCTCCAACAGAGTGAGGTCACTTCATCATGGTTTTGGATTGCCCAGCCTCCCAGTTGTTGGGGGACTTCTCCTCCTTCTCAGACCCTAAAGCCCCTCTTTTAGGACTTTTGAAAATGACACCTTCTTCCAAAAACGACGACAGGCCGAAGAAATGTTTAATGAAGAAATGGGCTGATACTACAAAACTTAGATGTGTTCTCAGAAGATCATGATACCAGCCGATGGTGGTTAGAAAGACAAAACATGCTTAAGAATTGCATCTGAAAACGCTGCCAACTTCTTATGATGATAGTTTGAACAATTCCAAACAGATTAAACAGTTTTCTTTGATTGCTTGTTGGAACCTTTTATCCTCTTTCTCTCCTTCACAGTGCGCACGGACGAAGAGCCCTTCGTGGTGGATGACATTGCTTATGACAGTGAAAGTGAGAGAAATGCTGACCAGTGCACGTCCAACGGCTGCATGTGGCCCAAATCGGCTGATGGAAAGATCTACGTTCCCTACGTCATCGCCAATCATTACTGTAAGGAACTGAGGGGCTTCTTTGGGGGCTTTTCTGAGTAAAACATTTGATAAAGTGTAAAAACTATGGATTGGGTAGCTAAAACAGAGGGATGAGCAAAAACAGACGTCCATACAAACAAGAAAAATGGATTTTATGTCGTATGTATGGCTTTAGAATTACTGCAGGTAGTTCTTAACTATATAATTTACTATAAAAGAAAATTCAAATCCACCATAAAACTACATTATCAATGTGATTATTCACAAATATGTTGCTGAAATGTCTGCACAGTCATTTTATTTAAATATGTGGGTTTTGATTATGTCTTTCAATGAGAGATGAAGTGTCTTTACGATCCAAAAGTCCATTTGCCTTCAGCCAGAATTGTTAGATTATTGTTACAAATTTATCATGTAAATAATGGGTTTTCCATAAGAAAATCTTTCACAAAGTAATAATAAATGAATGCCAAAGAAAACATTAGACTTAGACTTAGACAGTACTTTATTGATCCCTTGGGAAGATTCCCTCAGGAAATTAAGGTTACCAGCAGGAAAAAAAGTATTAAGTTAAATTAAATTAAATTAAGCAAATAAATAAATAAACAAACAAATAACTAACTAAATAACTAAATAACTAACTAAATAAATACATAAATAAATAAATAAATAAAAAATACATAAATACATAAATACATAAATACATAAATAAATAAATAAATAAATAAATAAATAAATAAATAAATAAATAAATAAATACAAAGAACACAGATTAAATACAGTTTATATAATAGGAGTTATATTTAATTAAATTAATTATAATTAATTAATTATAATTAATTAATTATAATTAATTCAACCAATACAAGATAAAAAGAAGGGTAACCAGGAATAGTTCAGTATTCAGAGTAAATTCCTGTAATAATCTTTGTTTCAGTGGAGCTGAGGAAACCTCTGAACGAGCATGCTGTGAGGTTTGAAATGATGAGCGTGCATATTGTGTTTCTTAATCCTTGCAGGTTATCAAACGGCAGATTTTTTGTGGGGGTATAGCGCACCAGTCGGTGCAAATACATGTATCTGTTTTCTTTATTGTAGTCATCTCGTCCTTTTTGTGTTTTCAAAGCTTCTCGCGAGCTCTCCGTCATCCAGCGTGGCTTGGAGTCATTCAGTGAAGTGTCCTGTGTCCGTTTTGTCAAAAGAAGCACCCAGAGAGACTACCTGAGCATCCAGTCCCACAACGGGTAACCCTTTATGTCAGTGTGTGTGTGTGTGTGTGTATGTATGTGTGTTTGTGCAAATGGTAGCACGCCAAATCAGAAATGTGTGAGTGCACATCTTTACACCTCATCTTTTAGCTGATCCTGTCAGGTTTATATCTTGCACAATATATCACTTTGAGGAAAAAGAAATGTAGTTGCATCAATCATTTTTGTTACATCACATTGTTTGTGATGTAACACATTTTTAGGGAAACGACTTTTTCGTTAGTTTTCCCTTCCTGTGATTTTAATTGAGTAGCTGCTGCTGGTCACAATTAAGCAACTGAACAATAACAATGATTATAGTGATCACAAAGAAAATGAGAACACTGAAAAAGGTGGAATAAACTAGGAATATGAAAAGTATATCCTGTATGTGCACTGGGGCCAGTTTAGGTTTGCTGCTAGCCAAAGCTAAAGCAAAAGTTCCCACTTTTCTTTTCCATTCAGAAATGTGAAAACTACAAAAAGAAGTGATGTATTTTTAGTCATTTATATACTCATTCAATTTTTAATCCTGCCAGAATAATTGACCGCAAAGCTAACTATTAGCAGTAACTGGTTTACAGTTACTCAAATGAGCTGTTGTAGTGTTTTAAATAGATAAAGATCAAATGCATCTAGATAGCTTTAGTTCTGGTTATTGGCTCATTAGATGCCACAATGTGTTACAGACTGACACGTCTTATCTAGCCTGATACAAAGTGATAAACAAATAAGAAATGCATGGATGGTGATGGAGGATACCGTCCGATTTTCCCAAAACTACAAGCACCGGAAAAGAAAAACACACATTCTCATAAACTAATAATGATTAATGCATCAATGAGCCAACACAAATCCATCCTTCCTTGCTTGGAAATGTATTCCACAAATTAATTTTGCATTTACACAGTTGCTACTCGTACGTTGGCCGGCGGGGCTATGCCCAGACCGTGTCCCTGGACCGGCAGGGCTGCATCTACCACAGCACCGTTCAGCACGAGCTGCTCCACGCTCTGGGCTTCAACCACGAGCAGTGCCGCTCCGACAGGGACCAGCACATCCGGATCCTGTGGGAGAACATTCAGTCAGGTTGGCGGCCGAGCGCAAAAATCTTGGATTTTCTTTAACCAGCATAGGACTTGTTGGAACAAACATGATTAAAGGTTTCCAAACTAGGGCCGTTTTGAAACCAGGTTTCAACAGGTTTTGCACAGATCCTACTGACAAAACAGAGCAGCCAAGTTTAGGCATTGATCTAAACCTTCCGTGAAGCCAATTTTTCAATTGTGATTAGTCAGCAGTTTAGGACGACAGTTTTTTAAAAATCTCTCCTGACTGTTAGTGCTGTTTGTTATTCCCTGACAGGTTTGGCGTACGCCTTTGATAAGATCGACACCCTGAACATGAACACCCCCTATGACTACAACTCTGTCATGCAGTATCACAGGTTTGAGAAAGCTTTGCTGTCACTTTCTTCTGATATAAAGTAAGCAATAAAATGGTACAGATCTAACCCCTTTAACGCCACGTGTGTCATTGCCGATAATCAGATTATGGTCAAACCTCTTTCTAAAGAAATCCTGTTCAACAGAATATTTACTTTTCTTAGTTTGAAGTTATCTAGAAGTTGTGATACCAAAAATCTTTTTCATTTAGGCTTTATTTGCATTTTGTTAGAGTCAAACAAAGTTTTGATAAAAAAACTGAATTTCTATTAATTGATTCTTGGGACAGACGTTATGGTGTTAAGGGGCTTTTTCTTCTGTTTTACTGTTTATTTTCTATGAACAGTGCTTTGCATATAAAGAACAACAAGTTTGTGCTGTTTTTCTCCTAACAAATCCACCTTTAATTCCAGGTATGCTTTCTCAGCTAACAACAAACCCACCATGGTGCCCATTCCCAATTCAAACGTTGCCTTCGGCACGGCCACTCAGATGAGCAGTAATGACATCGCCAGGCTGAACAGACTCTACCAATGTTAAAGTAAGGAAATACCACAGGAACTCACACACGTTTTGTTCCTACAACGGGTCAAATAATGAGGTCTCGATTATGTAACAGTGTCGTGGGAAAGGATTTAAGTAAATAAGTAACTTTTCATGGTTTAAAATCAGAATCTGTATTTGAAAACAGCTTTTTGGTGAATGTTGGTGAATGTAATTACCACGGTTACAATGACTAATATTTTAGCTTTCAGTACAAGAATGTTTTTGCTCCAAACCAATCTATTTGCTGTCAGACTGTATGTATTTAACGAAAAAATAATCCTAAAAATGTCTTCGGCAAAAATTTTGCAGATGGTAAATAAGATGGTAATAATTATAGTCTTATTCGGCCTTATTATAATTTCACGTCAAATCTCCTGGTGTTAAAATGTTTTCTTTCCTTTCTTGTCCCCAAACAGGTCACATTTGGTGTTATTCATACATCAGACTGCAAAACACAATTTTGGTGGCATTGGCAATAAATCTTGAAATACTATACCCACTCATAAATGCTTTCTATGTTTTTTTTTTTTCCTTTCTGGAACATTTCCTCCATATCGAATCACTTTCAATTTCTTCTTGAATTTCTCACAATAAAACATGCATAAAAGAGCAATAATTTTCAGATATGTCATTTGTTAACAGTTATTGAAAATCTGAAAGCATTCAGGGACTGAACATCATTTTAGGATCTTGTAATGTACTGTTTTTTGCTGCAGTTACCTCACATCTCAAGCAGAATTGGAGTGGCTGAATATAAACTGTGTAAATATCGAGTCAGTGGCTATTTTTTCCCCCTACACTTCTGAAAACATTTGTAAATTTTTTGAATGCCTTCTCCTCCAACATAATTAAGGCTCTATAATTGAATACATGAGCGTAAATTCATCAATTACCAGTCAAACTATTGTTAAAGGCATGGTCTAGATATATTTCTAATGTTTAATGTAGGCAGAATAAAGTTAACAGGAGGCAAGAAGGGTCAAATTTTAATTGTCAAAGTCCTCAACACACTATATACCAGTGTCTTCTCTTGGCCAGAGTTAAAAAAAAAACTCACGAATTGCTTGTAAACTGATAATGAACCACAAACAACTTTTCTTTGTCAATAACTATTCTTCCTCAAATACCAAAACAAGAATACCACAAGATATTTTCCTTCTCCACATAGTGTTCATGAAATAGATGTCACAGAGTACCCTCTACTGGCCATTAGAGTAACTGCAAGTGAGGTCTAAAAGATGTCAATGACGTTTAAGAAAAAAGTAATTAAAAACATTCCTAAAAAATGAAGTTTATTTCTATACTATTTTTCATTGTCATCAGGCATATTCTCGGCCGTGGTGGCCGTGTGTGCCATTTACTGGCCATTAAAGGAACTGAATGTTAGGTAAAAGTGGCGTTAGCGACATTTTAAAAATGACTAAACAATGCAAAATAATTTAATACATTTAATAGCTTTTACTACTTCAATGAGCAATCGTCAATATGTGCAGTCATTTTTAATAAAAAAACAAAAAAGACAGAGTGGGCTGGATGCGTTTGTCGGTAACCATGACAACAAAGACAACAGGGCGGGAGAGGCTGTGCTAGCTAGATGTAGCTGAGGGCTTTTAGCGGAAGCTGTGATTGAGTGTGGTGGTTGGGTATAGTAAAGGATTGTAAGGCTTAGTTGTGTGAGGAGTGTGAGGTTTGTGCATGGCACGTTGAAGGGAAGAAGCGGCTTCCGGTAGCTGGCACAAGTGTACACGGACAGTCGGAGCCGCCTGCTGTGAGGCAGGGTATGTTTTTGTTTGATTAAAAATGGGTTGGCGGCTGCTAGCCCCAACTCCCCGCTTGAGCCGAGGAGGTCCCCTCCCAAAGGCTCCTCAGCCTGGCGGGGAGCGGAGCTAGCAGGTCCACGCCCCACGAGAAGGGGTCTCCCCACTGCGGCCGTGCGAAGGTGGATCGGGCCTCACCACCCTGGCTACAACCCAGGCAAGGGAGTCTAGTTAAAGCTACGACCTTGCCCGAGGAGACGCATGTCACGACCGCAAGCGGTTCGCCCCACCCCTCGAGGAGGCGTGGCGGAGTGCTCGCCACACACTAAACTAAATGTGGGAAATGAGGGGGTATTTATACAAATAAATCACTACCCATGATGCTTAGCGGCTTCCATTAGTGACGTTAATGTTTGGAGTTGCCATGGTTTTGAGTTGAGGTCCAATCAAACGTTGGAATGTTGACATGATCTCCATATATCTCCATATAGAATCACAATATCACGTGGTCTCTCGCGAGTTTTGCTGTTAAGGAGAATTGCACTTGCCAGCTGTCAAAAATTAAAATTAGTCACGTGACTAATATTGTTGCCCCTATATTTGCCTCAATTCTTTTGTAAGTTCTTAAACACACATTCAACGTTCTTATTGAAGCAAAATGTACAAGAAATATTTTACTTGGTTTCATACAAGGAAGTTCCCTCGTCTATATTGGACGGATATTTGAAGCAGCACAGCGAGAGTCCTTTTATTTAAAGCTAAAAGCAAGGGTCATTGTCATCAGGCACTTTCCAGGAGGCTCAGCTGCTTCCATTAGTGACGTTAATGTTTGGAGTTGCCATGGTTTTAATGTGAGTTCCAATCAAACGTTGGAATGGTCAAATGATTTTCAAAAAATTATATCTCCATATAGAATTACAAGATCACATGATCTCTCGCGAGTTTTGCTGTCAAGGGAACATTTCTCTGGCCAGCTAAAACAAATGTACTTATTTGAAATTTTTAAATTTTACTCTCCAAAAAAGAGAAAAAGATTGATATAAATAAAAAGAAACAAAAGATGAAATGTAAAAACTCTATTGGAGTCACGTGACAAATATCGTTGCCCCTATTTTTGTGCCAAATCTCCTGTAAATTCTTTGACACACATTCAATGTTATTATTCAAGCAAAATGTACAAAAAATATTTTGCTTGGTTTCATACAAAGAAGTTCCCTGGTCTATATTGTGACAGATATTTTAAACAGCACAGCGACAGTACTTTTTTTAACGCTAACAGCGGGGGTCATTGTCATCAGGCATATTCTCGGCCGTAGTGGCAGTGTGTGCCATCTACTGGCCATTAGAGGAACTGCATGTGAGGTAAAAGTGGCGTCAGCGAATTTTTAAAAATGACTAAACAATGCAAAATAATTTAATACATTTGATAGGTTTTACTACTTCAATGAGCCATCGTCAATATGTGCAGTAATTTTTAATAAAAGCACAAAATAGACATAGTGGGCTGGATGCGTTTGTCGGTAACCATGACAACAAAGACAACAGGGCCGGAGAGGATGTGCTAGCTAGATGTAGCTGGGGGCTTTTAGCGGAAGCTGTGATTGAGTGTGTTGGTTGGGTATTGTAACGGATAGTAAGGCTTAGTTGTGTGAGGAGTGAGAGGTTTGTGCATGGCACAGTGAAGGGAAGAAGCGGCTTCCGGTAGCTGGCCCTAGTGTACACGGACAGTCGGAGCCGCCTGCCGTGAGGCAGGGTATGTTTTTGTTTGATTAAAAATGGGTTGGCGGCTGCTAGCCCCAACTCCCCGCTTGAGCCGAGGAGGTCAACTGATTTTCAAAAAATCATATCTCCCTATAGAATCACACGATCACGCGATCCCTCGCGAGTTTTGCTGTCAAGGGAACATTTCTCTTGCCAGCTATGAAAAATGTACCCATTTAAAACATTTTTTTATTTCACTCTTCAAGAAAAAGGAAAAGTTTGATAGGTAGACAAACAAACATAAGAAGAAAAAACAGAAATGTTTTAAAAATTCTAATATCGTTGTGCCTTATATATACAACAGCATATATATACATATATACATGTCCAAAAGTACAAAAATAACATTTATTGGACACAGTTAAGAAAATCAGCCCTGGGATCTTAACAAACAAAAAAATGTGTCTGATTCTCAGTCGTCAAAGAGAACTGAGATCTGGGTGTGATGGGCAGTAAGATAAGATAAGATAAGAGCTTTATTGATCTCACAGTGGAGAAATTCACTGGTCACACATCGGTTAGAATTCAAAAGGAGGAAAAGGTGCATAAAGTACAGCAAAAGCAAGCAAATATACAAGGAAGCAACACAGCATAGAGATTTGGGTGATTAAAATATATACAATCATTGATGGAAAAAATAAATAAATAAAAAAAAATAAAACTCACACACAGTACACATATTACACAGGTCAATAAATATAACACAATTGCACAGCAGTTGTTAAAGTGCATTATCTCCTTGGCTCGATCCTCCTCTTCAAAGGAGGGCTGGACATAACCAAATCCTATTGGCTAGTTACCTCAGGTCATGAAAAGGCCATGTCCTAATTTATGCAGATGACATTGGAATGTGGTAACAAATGGTGTGTGCATGGGTTGACCTAAAGGTGTGGATCTAATGCAACAGAGAAAGAAAAAGAGAGAAAAGGAGAGTCTGTGGACACAGCCAGAGACTTTAACACAAAAATATAGCTCTATAAGTATTACGACAATCAGTAATTTACATAGATCATGTGATAGCAAACAATGCTAAAGTGAGAAATTATTGCCAAATTCTAACAGTTGCGTTGAGACAATCCATAGATCAAATCCATAGCTGATCCATAGTAGATGGATGTTAGGTTTTACGAAGTGAAAAAGTCAGAACGAGGCTCTGAGATGTGACAGGATGAAGATAACAAGCAGGCAAAAAAGGGCAGTGGAGGGAGCAGAAAAAAACGTTTCTGCATCAGAGAGCCAAATGAAGAAGAAGAAGAAAGGCTCCCAGATTCAACAGGACAAAGACAGCAGGTCCTGAATTCAGAGGGAATCTACAGCCAGAGGCAGCGTCAGCAGGCTGAGTCTGTCTGAGCCTCCAGCTGGTCCTAGACGGTGGTCACATCCGATCCGTCCTCAGGTCCAGAAGACCCGGAACCGTTTCCCACCTGGAGGAGGAGAATCAGTCAAGTTTCAGCAGCATGGAGCTTTTGTCTGCTCATGAAAGCAGCGTCTGAGCAGCATCTCAGGCTTGTTAGTCAGCTAAGAGAGCTGTTGGTGAGTCCTGGCTACAGGGGCCTCCAGCAGACGGGCTCAACAGGGAAAACACCCACCTTACTCATGTCAGACATCTGAATTTGCGTATATTGGACTTCCTTGTGTCCGACTGAGTCTGAAAAACAGGCAAAGTCTGAGGTGAGTTTCTGCTTCATGAGACAGAAAGAAAAAAAAACAACAAACACATGCTGACGGAGATTCTTTGGGGAAAAAAGCCCCAGAACAAAAACTACACTGGTCTAAAACAGAAACAACATGATGTCTGTCAACAAAGTAAAAAAAATCAATTATGCATTTCTGGGAATGAATAGACCAAATACCTGCTTCCGTTTGTCCGTTTGTCATATTTTTTTTACACTTAACCAATCCATAGACCAGACCAACAGCTACCAGAAAAACAGCCACAACTGCAATGATGACCCTATAATCCCAATCATCTGTAAAACAGAACCAAACACAGCCAGGAATGAGACCCAAAACCCATTTTAAATGAAATGGCGACACTTGTTCATGACCCTCACAGACTTACTCAGTCCCATTGCACCACCTTGTGGCCAGAGTGTGTAACTACAAACTAAATACATGCAATTCCCATGGAGCTTCTGTCTGTTTTAAAGCTACACAAATATCCAAGTGTGACAAAAAAACATAAAGGAGCTGACAAACATTCAAGGTCAGGAATTAAATCAATCTGACGGTGTCTTTTCTCACCGTTTTTTGTCTGGTTCAGAGCACATGATGTGTTCACAGTCTTATTCTCTGCAAGGCTGGAAGCAACACAACTGAAAGAGGAGTTAAAGTCCTGTGTGTCTACTGACAGAAGCAGAGAGGATGCAGAGCTGCTCTGGTTCAGGATCTGCTGGCCTTTCAGCCACTGCAGGGTGATGTTCTCCCCCACCGAACACAGCAGCAAGCAGCTGTCAGAGCTGCTGTTCAGTCTGCTCACTTCAGGGGTGGGAACAGGGTCTGGAGGGGAAATGGAGGGAGAACAGAGATGGTTGGAGGCAGAACGGACAGAAAGAACAGAGGTTTAAAGCAGAGAGAGCTGCAGCAAATCAGATAAATCTCTTCCACCAAATGAGGATTGTCTTTGACAACTTTTTAAGCGAGCTGCATACCAGCTAGCAATTTATAGAAGGTGTTTCGACCAGTTTATCAACGCCCCTAACCCAGAAGGCCATGTCTGGTCCTTTGAAGATGGAGTGCTCTCCTATTGTTGGATAGTAAATCCCCCAGCTCCATCTGATGTCACAATGGACATATCTTGCAAGTGCAAGACAAATGCATGTGCTACACAAATCTGTCCATGCAAAAGGGGTCTTTTGCTATGTAGTGACCTCTGCCAATGTGTTAACTGTGCAAACTGTCCTGTTATGATTGAAAATGAGAATGATGTGGAAGGGATATATTCAAATGATAATGACGACTTGGATGATTCAGATGATGAGTTGTAATGTTTTTCATATATGTTGTAAGTTTTTGATGAAAATATAAAAAATATAAATATGAGAGGTCTGGATTTAAATAATATGAAGTAAATATGATATGTTTGGATTTAAATAGTATGATGTCGCAAGGAAAGGTTAAGATAGAAATAATATAACTGTAAATATGAGAGGTTCAGATTTTTATATTGGACATAAATATGGATCCTTAGTTTTTATTGACAGTGAAAATGATATATTATTCCATTTTTATAGCAAAGTTTTCTTGTGATAATAAGGCTTTATTCAACTGTGTTATGTTGTTTTGATTATTTTTTAGGTTGAAAGTACCCCACATTTTTTTTTCTCATTAAGTCATTAAATGCAATATGAAGTAAAGTGATGTCAGTTTTTCAATAATTAAATTATTAAGAAATTATTTGGACAAAAAACAAGGTTTTTGCATATTAAATTATTGTCCTTTGTCTTGCTATGGCTGTATAAAGTGGAAAATATGTAGTATTCAGGTTCAGTGGCTCTCTGGCACAAAAATTGAAACTAAAGGTCAAAATTGCATTTCCGTGTTGATTCCAGCAGTTTTTTTAATAAAAAAAACTTTTCTAATGATCAACCTTAATTATTTTGACGTATTTTGGTAAAGATCACTTGTTTAAAACCAAAAATATGGAGATTTTCTTAGTTTTAGCCACCTATAGGCCAGATGTGGAACTACCGAAATTTTAATTGGTCGTAATTAATTAATGTGCAAGTGAAAACGTGGGAACATTGGCTTTTTGAGATCACTGAAGTCCAAAGTATCTAATTAAACTGGAGGAAAGTGGCCCCCAAAAAGTTCAAACGAAAAGTCATCGTGCAGATCCTGGCGCACGGCTTGATGTGTTCATGAACCTTCCAGACTTACTCACTCCCATTGCGACACCTTGTGGCCAAAGGGTGTGACTACAAACTAAATACATGCAATTCCCAAGGATATTTTGTCTGTTTTTAAAGCAACACAAATATCTAAGTGTGGCAAAAAAACATAAAGGAGCTGATAAACACGGACGACATTCAGGGTCAGGAGTTAAACCAATCTGACGGTGTCTTTTCTCACCGTTTTTTGTCTGGTTCAGAGCACATGATGTGGTCACAGTCTTATTCTCTGCAGGGCTGGAAGCAACACAACTGAAAGAGGAGTTAAAGTCCTGTTTGTCTACTGACAGACGCAGAGAGGATGCAGAGCTGCTCTGGTTCAGGATCTGCTGGCCTTTCAGCCACTGCAGGGTGATGTTCTCCCCCACCGAACACAGCAGCAAGCAGCTGTCTGAGCTGCTGTTCAGTCTGCTCACTTTAGGGGTGGGAACAGGGTCTGGAGGGGAAATGGAGGAAGAACAGAGACGGTTGGAGGCAGAACGGTCAGAAAGAACAGAGGTTTAAAGCAGAGAGAGCTGCAGCAAACACATGGAGCTGTTTCCAGGACAGTCAGAGCACCAGCACACTGATCTGAGCAGCTTCAGGAGGAAAAGCAACAAAAGACACTCACCGAACACTCTGAGCCAATAAAGGAATTTAAAAATGGAACCCCACTCCAGTTTATAATCTCCTGAGTTGTTCTTCTGCAGATCTGTGATTGTAAAGAGTCCAGTTTCATTCTTCCAGTGAACGTTTTTCACATAGCTTTCAAATATTCCTTTCATCACTGAAGCTATGTGATTTTCATAAAAGTGAAGAAACCCCGTTTCCAGGATTGAGTCTGGCAGAGTGATGTTTCCTCCAACAACTCCTGTCAGCTCCTTCTTCTCCTTCTCTCCTCCAGCTGCAGAAAGTCCTGAAACGAAAGAGAGCAGCAGTCAGCTTCAGCTGCCATCAGGAAAACACACACATCTCAGCCTGGTGAGCAGCGAGGCCTTAAAACATCTGAGGAAACTGGACCAGTGGAGGACCAAAGAAGAAGAGCTGGGCCTGAAAAGAGTAGCCTCTCGCTGCAGTCTG